GAGAAGCCTTTCGCGAGGCGGCGGGCCGCTGGTCGCGGCGGCAGCCTCCGCCGGCGGTGCCGCTCGCAGCGAGCCGCGAGCCCACGCTGCTGCACGTGTCGCTGGAAGACGCGGCCAGTCTGCTCGGCTGCACGTCCGAGCAGCCGGTGCTCGCGACCCTCTTTCAGAGGTTGTTCAGTACCCGATGGTGCTACCGGCCCGAGGAGATGACGGAGGTGCGAAAGACTGCGAACGGCACCGTGGACGTGTGCGTGTGGGGGTTCGAGTTGCCTGCTCCCCCCAAGCAGTGCGCGAGCAATGCTGGGGGTGCGCCGCTTTGATGGTCGTGTGGGCTGTCGGGTCCCTCGACGTCAGTCGGGCGTCCCGGTCACACCGCGTCAGCCTCGCGACGAGCGACGCTAGGAGGCCCCACGAGCCCCCGTCGTCGTTTCACGAACACCTCGGTGCAGTGTAATGAGCCGCGTGAGTTTGGCGCCGCCAGATACACCACTTGCGCCATTTCCCCTCGTATGCCGTACCGGCTTTGCACAGAGTCGATACATTTTCCCACCACAAGGGTGCCGATTGCCGACCCCCCAGCCCCCAGCCCCACCCCGCGCGGTCCCCCGCGCGACCCGCCGGCGGCCACATACACCTAAACACACGCCGAACTCAAACCGCAAACTCTACGCCTTCCGTGCCCCAACCCGGCAACTCTCGTGACTCGTCCGCACGCGCGACGCGCACAGAAGACAGGGCGCGCAAAGGCTCATCTCCAGCAAGCTCCTCCGCGATTGCCTGATCTTGATCGTGGATATCACGGCTCCACACGCCCCCTCACTCCGCACAGAAAAATGCCACGTAGACCGTGCCGGAGAGGACCTGTAGCGAACGCGTCGCGCTTCCAGCCGCGCCCTTTCCCACGGAGTCGACGTCCATTCGCATTGCGTCCTCCTTTGCGAGCAGCGTTGGTATGCAGTCGGCTCCACTGTCGTTGCCAGAGATTGCTAAAGAGGCCTCATCGGCAAGGGCCACGGCGAACGCCACTGCCGACTCGACGGGGAAATCGACCGCTGTGGGGGCGGTGACGACGTTAACCGACGCCGTACAGCGGCTCCGGTCCCACATTGCGTTCAAGTCTCGCCCCGTTGCAGAGCCCACGTTGCAGTCGGTCTTCACATCGCCAGGGAAAGCAAAGGGCGAGTTTATCTCTAGCGCGACCGGCGCCGCTCCATCGACGGCCAGGGTAACGCCAGTACCTTCGAGGAGCGTCAGGCTCCTGTCGATGCCGTGCAGCATGGAGAAGGGACCGCCTGGCGCGGCGAGATCCGCCATCGAAAGTCTCCAACGGAAGGGCGCGGCATTTTGTGCATGGTGGGCGGCATCGGGCGTGCGGTCGACGGCGATCTCACGCGTGACACCGAGCCCGTTCGCCCACCGCTGCTCGGCGAACTCTGAACGGCGCAACACGGCAGTCGAGATACGCATATCTGTCACCCCTTCGAGAGAGTGGGCGCGGAGCTTCCGGTGAGATTGGTGGAGACACATCAACATAGGCAACTTGCGTTATCAGCGTTTCAAGCCCAGCGAGCATGTTTGCCTAAACACGACGACGGCCTTGTGCCGTGGAAGTGACTGCTGGTTCGAAGCTGCGGGTGCGAGAGCATTCACAGCGCTCGTTCACGCAGTTGGCAGCAGCTCGTTGCCAGATGCAGAGGTGGCCGAGTTGGTCTAAGGCGCTGGATTAAGGCTCCAGTCTCGTAAGGGGCGCGGGTTCGAATCCCGTCCTCTGTAGCTTGGGTATGCGACCCTTTTTGACACCACAGGATCTTCTTGTTCCCCCTGTAACCTCGAGGTACAAGCATACAACATCGTTGCTCGTTGGTCCGTGTGATTTTGTTTGCCCCGGTTGTTGTGGCGCAGTGACCAGTGTGTGCAGGCGATGTTCATCTCTTTTCGACCATCAGCATTGAGCATTGTGCGTCGTCGAGCGTTTCGCGTGCATACGGCTTTAAGATATGGCATAAGCATGTAGACAAGACATAACTTTCTCACAACCGTCCTACTCCTCGTCCTACTCCTCACTCTCCTCGGAGCGCAACAGTGTGCGCAAATCGACGCCGACCCCTGGGGCGAGGCCCGCGGGTGGGCAGTCACGAGAAGAGCTTCTTCTGCTTTCCGCCGCCGCCGCTCGCCGCGGGCTTGCGCTTGCCACCCGCCGCCGCCTGCTTGCCTGCCGCGGCAGCCTGCTTGCCATTGCCTGCGGCGGGCCCCCCTCCCGCCTTGCCCGCCTTGTGGGCCGCGTACGCCTCGGCCATCTTCCCCATATTCTCTTTGGACACCACCTGCGGAGCGTGTCGCTGGCGCGTGTGGGCGCGGGTCGTGCGGGTGTCGCCGAGGCGAGGGCGGTGGCGGGGCGAGGAGGGGGCGGGCTGAGGCGGGGGGGGCGGCGGCGGCGGCGGCGGCTGCCTGGTGGTCGACGATGGGCTTGGGGTAGTCGACCCCGATGATGCAGCCCGCCTCCTTCTGCACCGCGATGGGCGCCTTCCACGGCTCGTAGATGTACTTTGCCGGGAGGCGCGCGAGCTGCGGCAGCCAGTGCCGGACGTAGGCGCCCTGCTTGTCGTACTTTTGCGGAAAGGCGACCGGCGAGTAGCAGCGAAAGTACTGGTAGAAGAAGCACGAGCACGAGAGCCACATCCAGTTGCCAAAGTTGATCGCCTCGTCCGCGTCGAGCAGGTACTCCTCGAAGACGGCAGCGCCCGTCTCCCAGCTCTGCCACAGGTCGCCGCGCGTCAGGAAGCAGGCGACGGCGTGGCGCGCGAGGTGGTGGATCCAGCCCTCGCGCCGCAGCTGCGTCATCGCGGCGTCGATCCACGGGTACCCAGTCCGCCCCTCGCGCCACGCCGCCACCAGCGCCGCGTCCTCGCCCCACGAGATCTGCCTGCAGATCGGGTTGCCAGCCATCCGGCGGTAGTTTGGCGTCGCGTGCATGCAGCAGACGTAAAACTCGCGCCAGAGCAGCTGGCCGTGCAGCGAGACGGGCGGCTGCGAGTGGCGCGGCGCCGCCTCCGCGTACACGGCGGCGACGCGCTCGTAGAGCAGCCGGCTCGACAGGCAGCCAAAGGTGAGGTACGGCGAGAGGACTGTCGTGGAGCGGCCGGCGCCCGCGTCGAACGGGCCGCCGGCGAGCATCTCGGTGGGCGAGGTCTTTGGCTTCTCGAAGCTGGCGATCCAGTCGCGCCGGCGCAGGTGCGCCTCCATCGCGCGGAGTGCGGCGCCCTCCCCGCCGCGCGCGATGACGGCCGCGTCGCCCATCGGCTCGAGGCCGAGCTCCTCGAGGGAGGGGATGGCGTGGGGAGCAGCGGTGCGCCCGGGCGGCGGCAGCGAGGCTGGCGGCGGCAGCGTCGTGACGGGGCGCGCCTTGAGCTCCTGGGCGAGCAGGCCGCGGAACTTGTCGTACGACGTGACGGGTGCGCCACGTGAGAGCAGCAGCAGCGCCTCGGGGTCGACCAGCGTGTGGCCGACACGCGTCACCACCTCGAGGCCGGCCTGCTCGGCTTGCGAGCGCACGGCCTTGTCGCGGCGCAGCGAGTACTGCTCGTAGTCGAGCTCGTACGCCAGGCGCGAGGCGGACCACTCCTTGCAGGCGGCGGGCAGCGCCTCAACCGGGTCACCGTGCAGCACAATGAGCCGCGAGTTGAGCTTGCGGAGCGACGCGTCCAGATCGGCGAGCGACTCGAGTAGGAACCGCATCCGGTTGGGGTTGGTCCACGCGCCGCGCGCGCGCGAGCAGGTCTTCGGGTCGAGGCAGTAGACTGGGTAGAGCGAAGACGCGCCCTCGGCGGCGGCGATCAGCGCGGGGTTGTCGTGCAGGCGCAGCGCCTAGGGTCGGACGGCGGTTGGAAGGAGCGGGGAGGCAAGAGTACGGACGAGCACGCGCGCACCTTTCGAAACCAGTAGACCACAGCGACCATCGTGGGGGGTGGAGGGAGGTGGCAGCGGCAGCCACCACCGGGAATTCCCGGAAGTGTCAGAGCGATGAAGACACGCCGGGGTTCTCGGAAAGTTCTTGTACCCCGAAGCAGCGAGCTCAGATGAGATTTATCAAAACTAGTGGGGGACCTGCGGCGGACCCGCCCTGTTGTTCGGGCAGTGAGAGAGGTAGGATCTGCACGCCAAAGTGGGGGCCACTCCGCATTTTCATTTTGGTTTTGGGTTGTCGGAGTACGGAGATCATCCATCACGCATCAGCACTCATAAGTGTCAGGAGTTCCCGGAAGTGAAAGTGTCAGAGCGATGAAGACACGCATTTTCATTTCACACCTCCCTGGACTGGCCGGTTTGCGGCCCTTTCCCTCGTTTACCTAGACAACACCCCAAACACTCGTTTCACTGCTTGGCGAACCACGCGGTGGCGGACGCCTCGTTGGAAGCCTGCGGTCTGGTGGCCGGGCCGCCGTCACGCTGCCAGTGGCCTCGCTGCGGCACGCCCTGCTGCGCCATGCTTTGCGGCGGATACTCCGGCTGCGAGTACTTTTGCTGCGGCGTCCCGTGCTGCTGCGCCTCGACAAGGGCGACCCGCGCCTCGACAGCGGCGACGCGCAGGGTCGCCGCCTCGAGGGCCGCCGCGAGCATGGCTCCCTGCTGCTCGAGCAGTGCCATCCTCTCCTGCTGGGCCTCACCCGCCCCCGCCGCCTCGGGAGCCGCGTCGCGGGTGGCGAAGGGGTGAGAGGCATCCGCGCCACCAGCCACGCCCGCCGCCCTGCCCCAGTGCGGGTTTCCCTGCCGGTGCCCCTGCGGGTCTCCCGGCGGTGGCATCGCCCGCCAGTCGTCCGGGTGTCGTTGCGGCGACCGGTCCTCGCCCGGCGCGTCGTAACTCTCTCGGCCGCGGTGGCCGGGGTCGATGGGCGAGGCAGAGGCCCCTGCGCCAGACCCGTACTCCGCCCTGAATGCCTGGTACGCCTCGGAGGGTGACCTTGCGCCAAACTCCTCCTCCTTGAAGTCGTGCGGCTGGGGGCCAGCCCCTCCGCCTCGTCCGCCGTGCGTGGCCTCGTCCGCCGCGCTCCGCCAAACCGATGCGCCGGCACTCTGGGCGGAGGAGTAGGCGGGCGGCGCGGCCTCGCTCGGCTGTCCGGAGCGGCGGACGACCTCGCACCGCACCGGCGCCGCCTTGCTGGCCGCCAGCGCGCCCATCGTC